CCATAACATTATTTTTGTTGCTACTTCATAACTGTCATTTACCTACTATTATTAATCAGGTGACCCCTGTGAAAGGGTCATTTGACCACAGGTTGAGAACTGCTAGTTTAGGGGTTGGCATCAAAGGGGAAGGAGGTTGGAATAGATAATTGTGGCACATTCATAAATCTTAAGTTCATCTCAAATTTTTTCTTTTAACAGATGGCCTCTGAACGAGAAGGCTCTGGAAGTTCTGGCACTGGGGAACAAAAGGAAGATCAAAAAGAGGAGAAACAGTAATCATAGTAAACTTTGGAGCAGAAAAGAAAACATCGTGACGCTTGGGAATGAAGGGACTTCCTGAGCAGAAATGGGCATACTTCTGTCTTACTGTGTTTTTGCAGTATTCTATATATAATTTCCTTAATATGTAAATTTAGTGTATTAGCTTATGATCGATCATTTAATGAGTGATAAATTCCAACAGTACACAGTTCACAATGTTCTGTCCCTAGCCTTTCATTTTTCAGTTGCGTGTAAAAGGGGTGGGGAGGGTAGGACAATACATTGGTTATTATAAAGACTTACAGATTGTTTTGTGCTGACCTGGCTATATTTTCAAGAAGTGAAACCACCTCATATACAATGAAAGCAAGCAGCTATAAACTAGACATGGAATGAGACCAAATGGAAGAAATCCTTCTACTTAGTCAAGTACTAATATACTGGCCTATGTGTACATGGAGTCCTTCCACTGAGGCCATGCAAGACGAGCCAACCATGTCTTGTTGGTAGGTGGTGGAAGGAGCTCATCAGTGGAAAACTCAGCTAGCTAGTCAATACCCATGTCAAGTACAGCTTTTAAAACAGGATGGTAATGAGTTCCCTGCTTATCCTAAGGCATGTTTTACTAGCTTCTGGTCTCTAACAACATATCACCTTCATTTTTGATTGTTCCTTTTTGATTGATTTTTTTCTTAATAAATGTGAAAAGTATCTTGGTTCTGTTTGTGAAAGGAGAAACTGAGATTTATCTTCAAGGATGAAACATGATTCATACTTACTGTTAATGCTGGCCAAGTTTTGGAAGAACTGGTACGATAAAAAGCAGTATTGCTAAGGGCAAGTCTGGTTCAGAAGGGGGAGCCCCTCCTTTGGGATCTTGAAGCAGTCTCCAGATAATGTGTCATAAAAACCAGGACTACTTCAGAACTGTAGCCAGGAACTATTTCAAGCTGCTTTCAGCTCCAATAAGCAAATAATCCACCCATAATTCTAGTAGCTAATAAGTCCTAAAAAGGGTTTTGGTGGCTGGGGAAGCCAAGTTCTTTTCATATTTCTGTTCTTCATCTTCAGTACACAGGTGTATCCCAACTTCTCTGCTGTAGCTAATACATGCAGACAACTGTAGAAGCAGAAAGCTTTCTTTCCTCACTGCCAAAATTCTAATGGAAAAATAATAAGGAATCTCCCAAGACTATAAATCTCAAGGGAGCAGAAAGCCTCACCTTTCTTCCTTTGGAGCAGCTGGCAGGTTCAAACTGTTAACGTGGCTATTAGCCCAATGTGCAATTCACTGCCACCAGCACTTTATTGAACACCCGCCCCCCCCAGTCTCCCAATCAACTGCCCAAGAGTATAGGAGTGGAGTGTGCCACCAAGAACATGGTTTTAGACTCAATCAAATGATAAAGTCT